CTCCCTTAGTCACTGCCCAACTTTCACATGCATGTAAGGCAACTGATAATATCTTGGCTTGGGTCAGGCAAACCTTAGTCCTCCGGTCCATGTGGCCCTGGCACCCCATTTTCCATCAATGGCACACTCGGGCAAGTGTCTGAGGTCTATACTGCCACATCCGGGCTCCCCCTCCCCTGCTCCCTGGCCACAACAAACACACCGTGCCTAAGGGCCAGGTTTTTATACCCAAGTCAAAAGTTGGAAAATACAAGATGGAGGCTGAATGTGGAGACTCAAATAGATTTAGGACTCCCCATACAAACCCTAACTTTCTGCAAACCTCATGCTCAGAATGTAAGCTCCAATACATGAGATGCAGTTGGCATGTGCTAGGAGCTGCAAGAAGTAGGGGGATGAGGCTTGGTAAGGGATGAAGTCCAAGAGTTTGGCAAGAATATGATCATGTAGGAGCTAACCCCACTGATGATCAGAAACAACAATCACAACACAGGAAGCATACATAAAAAGTTAGGCCGTCTAAGGTTCAGGTGGTAGTGGTGGGTGGTACACAAAACCCGCATCATATATATGAGGGGGTACTTCCCAAAACAGAAATTTTTTTCAAAGCTTTGTCTTTAAGTTGTTGTACAAAACAACCTTAACACCGTCACAGTACTCTCCATTGCACTTAATACACTTGTCAACCTGTGAGTCCATTCTTGGAAACATTTTTCAAACTCATGTTTGGATGGCTGACAGCACCACCGTTGTTTTTTTTCTTCACCTCTTCTGCATCATCAAATCACTGTCCTTCCATGTCCCTCTGCATTTGTGGAAACAAAAAGAAGTCGCATGGAGCGAGTTCAGGTGAGTAAGGTGCATGGGGCGAGCTGCATGCTGTTTGTTGCCAAAAATTGGTACACTGAGATGGCTGCATGAGCATGTGCATTGTCGTGGTGGTGAAACCAGTCCCCCATCTGGCACAAATCAGGCCTTTGTTACTCAGATTTACTGTTACGCTATCTTCCTAGAACCTCTATATCAGGGGTTCTCAACCTGTGGGTCGTGACCCCTTTTGAGAGTCATACGATCCTTTCACAGGGGTCACCTGATTCATAACAGCAGCAAAATTACAGTTATGAAGTAGCAACAAAAATAATTTTATAGTTGGGGTCACCACCACATGAGGAACTGCACTAGAGGGTGGGGGCATTACAAAGGTTGAGAACCACTGCTCTAAATAGAAAGCTTGATTAGCAGTTTGGCCTGGTGGAACCAACTCCAAATGCACTACAACTAGACATTTCCATCTGTTCTGGAAGTTGATGGATGTCCAGAACGAGGTTTGTCATCAATTGACATTTCACCTTTTTTGAAACAAGAAAAACACTCATACACTTAAGTTTTCCCCATAGCGCTGTCCTTGTAAGCTGTGTTCAACATCACAACAGTTTCTGTGGCATTTTTCCTGAGCAGGAAACAAAATTTCACAGCTGTACGCTGTCCTCTTAAATCAGCCATTACAAAAAAGTGGTTCCAGCGAAACTGCTTTTACGAAAAAATTCCTGTGACCCGAGAGAACCTTCCCAGGCTGTGCCACTGGGTGCACTAACTCAGAGCGAGTTGCTTGATACTCGCCTAGCCGGAAAAATGTGTACTACAAAAGCTCCACCAAGCAGAGGCTTTCCCCCCCTTTGGGGGGGGGGTACCCCCTTGTATACTAAAACTTAATATATTAAAGAGGAAACATTCACTTAACAACAAACCGTAGACATTGTTCCAAGTCCACATAGCATATAGTTTAGGTTTGAGATGCCAGGTGGCTTGTTGCAAATGACTCAATACTGCAACTACTCAAACCAGTTGTTGTGCAACGCCCGGGGTTAGGTAGGGTGCTTGGGAGGCAGGAAGTCTGTGTTAATAAGGAAGGCACCCCTCGGAAAAGATGGCAGCCCAATCTGAAGGATGTCATCAACGTTGCTCAAGTGTACATGCAGAAACTACTGAACAAGTGAATGTTCTGCTGTGTACATTTTCCACCATTTTTAGAAACAGGGTTGTTTTTAAAATTACTTCTAAAAACACTGCGACTGTTGTCGCTGGAACGCTGGTAGTGGGGCTACTGAGCTGCTAACCACAAGGTCAGTGGGTTGAGGCTGCCAACAACCCCAATGGGGAGACAGATGCGTTGACTTCCGTACAGATTCCATCTGGGAGACGCTCCAGGGTGGCTCTACCTTGTCCACAGGGTCACTGGGAGTTGGAATGCGCTGGACTGTTTGGGGTTTGGTTTTAGGATTTCCTGCCTTTTTGAAACCCTTGCCTCGTGCAGCCGGGTTCTGTTTTCCTCTGCCTTTAGCTTTCACAATTCTTTCCCAATCACCTTTGCTGCGTTAGAGGGGAAATAGGGCCCAAACTCAAACATACTTGATAGAGACCCATTTATAAAGTCTTGGGCAGGAAAAAAGACAAATCATCCAATGAGGGAGCCCATGAGCCTGAGAGCGGAATGACGTCCAAAGGATTCACTCACCGCCATCGAGTCCATGCGGACTCACAGCGACAGAGGAGACCTACTCCTGTGCGCTCTCCATTCAGACTGCCTTTGAGAACCACTGAGGGTGGCGGGCACGGGGCAGGTGTTCTGTTATACACGAGGCCTCTGAGTCAGAACCAACTCTGGTGGGCACCTAAGACGGTGACAATGAAGGCGTGGCACCTGTGTAGTATGGTATGTTTTGTATTTATGTTTTATTGAGAATTAAGTCGGGGCTTGTTTGGGATCCGCAGTTTTCCATCCAATAACTACCTGTCAACCCCCCCAACCCCCTCTAGCTTGCTCTTCCTCTCCCCGTTTGACTTCTCTTCTGCCCCCTCGTGGAACACCATCTTCCCCTGCCCCCAGTTAACACCTGTCTACCCTCTAGCCTGTGGCTTCCTCTTCCCTCCCTCGCCACCCACTCTCCTTGGGAACCACGGAAGTCAGTTGCCTTTAGTATGAAAACCTTTGTCTTGATTTTTTTATCAACAGTTGACTAACACAAAACATTTTTTTTCTATCATGATAGACTGGTTTTATTGAGCATAATGTTCTCCAGGTACATTTATGCCCGGAGGTGGTTCTCTAAGCTATTTGTTGTTCTCTGTAGGTATGCAGTGTTGTGTACCAAGGCTCCCTCACTCATTCTTCCACTGATGGGATTTAGGTTATGAAACTTCCTTTTGATGAGGAGGAGTCCTGGTGTGGAAGAGATCAGCTCAGCTGCCATCTAAAGGTCTGAAGTTCAAACCCACCAGCAAGCTGCTTAGAGAATACTGAAAGTACCATGGACCGCTCAAAGGGCAAACGGATGTGATGGAAGGCGGATGTGATGGAAGGCGTAAGGCCAGAGGACTTGAGGCAAGGATGGCAAGACTTTGTCTTAAATGCTTTGGACATGTTGTCAGGAGAGACCAGACATCACGTTGGATAAAGGGGAAAGGCAGGGAAAAGGCGGAAAGCCCTCTGGGAGACGGACGGACACGGTAGTGGCATTAATAGGCTCGGGCACAGGAACCATGGTGACGATGGCCCTGGACCCTGCAGTATTGTGCACAGGGTCACTATGGGTGGGAGTGAAAGATGTGGTAGTCTGCTTCTGTAAAGACTGCCGCAGAGCTCGTTTGGGCTCACAGTGACCCTACAGGCAGATTAGAGCTGTAGCTGTAGCTGCTCTCTAGGGTGTCCAAGGCTGGGAATCCTTAGAGGAGCGACTGCCTCATGCTCTTCCTGAAGACAGCAGTGCAATTAGCAGCCCGGTGGTACCCACACACCACCAGGGTTCCCTCAGCAAAGATTACCCCCAAAAGTACTGCCATCGCTAATCCATTCTGACGCATAGCCACCCTATAAGGCAGGGGAGAAGGGTCCCAGTGGCTTTCTGGGAACAGGAAGCCTCATCTTTGTAAAGATTGCAGCCTTGAAAATCCTGTTCTACGCTGTCCTACAGGACCCTGCCGAGTCACTGTAAAAGTATAACGAGGCTGCAATCTCCACGGGAGCACATTGCAGGGCTTTTCACGGGGAGCGACCGTGGGTTCGAACCGCCGCCCTTCCAGGTCGGCCGCCAACTTCTTCGCTTTGCGCCACCAGGGCACCTTCTCGTTTCCCGTATTCAACGAAATTTCCACTCTCCGCGGGAATTTCTTTCTTTGGGGGGGATTCATCCCGTTCTCGGCTTTCAATGGTGCTCTCATTGAGAACCGCACAAATATACGTTCCTGACCCGCCCGGTCCGGCTCAGCTTTCCGTGAACCCTACCTGCGAGCCAGGGGCCTTGGCCGGACTACGCGGTGAGCACCTCCTCCAAGGTTAGATTCCCACGTCCGCCCCACCCCCGCCCGCGCCTCCACACTCCCAAAGACGCAGGTACCTCCCCAAGGAAGGCGGCGAGAGGAGCGCGTTGGGAAGCCGAGACCCCGAGGGTCGGAAGGTGGAGGGACGCGAGCTCACGACGCCGGGCCCAAGCCCGATGCGTAACTGCTTAACCGGCTCCTCAACTGTGTCCCACGGCGCGTTCTCCACCCACTGAGCGAGACCCAATCGGTGAAGGAGTTGGGCGTCGTGAAGCGGCCAATCAGAGACCAGACTGAGCTAGTGTGACATCCTCGAGAGCCAATGAAAATCACCGGCTTTTCGAGCCCGCCTGCAAGGGCCAGTCCCGGAGAGATCGCCGAGAAATCGTTTTTCTCAAGGTGTAAATCAGAACCCACGTCTCTGGAGGGACGACAGGGTACAACATGGGCGGCGACGGCTGGCAAAAACTCCGTGAGCGAGCACAACCGCACTTCCCGGACACCTCCGGGACGGTGGACTCGTCAAGTTACCCTGGGCGTGAGCAAAGCACTCCGGGGCGCACGGGCGGGGCGGGGCGCGCACGCGGCTGCGAGGTGACGTCACAACGCGTAGCCCCGCCCATCTCCCTTATAACGTAGGCTTGGCGCGCGCGCGCCATTGTGTGGCTGGACTCGGCTGCCTGCGGTGGTGTGAGGCGCGTGTTGGGGCACTCTCCGCATCCGCTCCGCTGCTGCCCGCCGCTGGACGCCAGCCTTCAGGCCTCTGCCCGCCGCGGCCATGCCACGCGTCTACATAGGACGCCTCAGCTACAACGTCCGGGAAAAGGACATCCAACGCTTTTTCAGCGGCTACGGCCGCCTCCTCGAAGTAGACCTTAAAAATGGGTGAGTCGAGGGTGGACGCCCGCACCCGCTCCCAGCGTCCCGGGCTTGAGGGCGGCGCGGGGCTCGGGAGGGAAAAGACGACCTAGGCCGCGGCGCCGCGTGGCAGGGCCTTCAAGATGGCGGCCGCGCGGGGTGGAAGGGGCGCGCGCGGGGCTGAGGGGGCGCGCGAGCGTGCGCGCTCCCGCCTAACGACGCCGCGGGCCCTCGCGCCACCCCCAGCTACGGCTTCGTGGAGTTCGAGGACTCCCGCGACGCCGACGACGCCGTTTACGAGCTGAACGGCAAGGAGCTCTGCGGCGAGCGTGTGATCGTAGAGCAAGCCCGGGGCCCGCGCCGCGACCGCGACGGCTACAGCTACGGAAGCCGCAGTGAGTCCTACGCCCGCGCGTTTCGCGTCTAGGGGACTCGGGGGTTGGGCACAGGCGTGGCGGTGGGGGGAGGGGGCGGGGAGGCGGCTCCCAACCCGGGCCGGCGCGGGGGCCGGGCACGTTTGCTTCCGGCCTCCCCGGGCCCCGCCGCCTTCGCGCCAGCCCAGGGGCGCGGGGTGGGCTGGGCTTGCTTAGTTGTCGGAGTTGGGGGTGGGCTAGGCTGCCAGTGCCGCCGTGGGCTCTGTTCACGGAGGGCGTAAGGGGTGGCTGTATCCGTGCTTACCCCCTTACCTGTCAGGGTTTAGCTCGAG